ATAAATACAGTGAACTAGAATAAATACATTGAACTAGAATAAATACATTGAACTAGAATAAATACATTGAATTAGAATAAATACAGTAAACTAGAATAAATACATTGAACTAGAATAAATACATTGAACTAGAATAAATACATTGAATTAGAATAAATACAGTGAACTAGAATAAATACATTGAACTAGAATAAATACAGTGAACTAGAATAAATACAGTGAACTTGAGTGTGTCTGTTGTGAAGTCAACCTACTGGACCTGAGACGAACAAAAAGGGTTACACACAGATATTTTAAAGACGAATATAAATGTTGCTAGGCCTGTTGCATTAAACAAACAAATCAATTAATCACATGATAAATGAAAATTATCCTCATTTTCATTTATTGGCTTAATCGTTTCTTTGTCTCTCTTTTGTACTGAAGACACTGGATGACAAAACACTCAACTCCGGTGTTTTTCACTGACCCCGCCCTTTCTCTTTTCACTTTAAAATCCACTTTAACAATCCCCCCCCCCCCCAAAAAAAAAGATCGCGTTTTTGGATCATTAAAAACAGTTAAGCTGAGAAGCTAAGCTACGAGCTAAGCTAAAAGGCTGACATCAAAAAGAAAAAAAAAAAAACTCCGTCTTGTCGAAGCTCCAAAATTCACGGTTGAAACCCGTGCCTTCATGTAACAAGTTGGTTTTCCTCTGCAAAAAGAAGGAAAGAACTTGTTTACAGATTTTTTTTTTTTAATTAAAAGCTTTGTGTGAAAAATGCTATGCTAAAGAGCTCAAACCACACAGAGCATCGGACATTTTGAGAACCAAAGAGAGACAGCCCATGTCACGTCAAGGGGCCTCCCTCCCATTTTTCTTAAAGAGGCACGCTGCTGCTCCCTCACTATCCTTCTGTTCAAACAGTCTTATACTGCCATCTGGTCAAAAACAGGTACTGCATGCAAAACAAATCAACCAACATTTTTTCTTAAATTTGACAATAATTACTAATTATTATATAATATTATATAATTTCTGAAGCATTTAATTGCCCAGCAAAATTTGTTATCGTGCCAGGCCTAAATGTCCCAACTGCAGAAACAAAAGCAAACGAAGGGGAACTGAAATGTGCCAACAACAAATACGCCAGGACCCAACAGTGTTCAGTCAGGTCACCTGCACAGATGCTTTTTTTCTGTCGAGACATTTTGCCCTTCATCCAAAGGGCGAAACGTGTATCAAAAAAATTTAAATAAAACAGAAACCATCTCGATGACCTGACTGAGCATTGTTGGGTTTTATTACCTGGATTATTGAGCATGAACCTCAATACCCTGCCAGGATCTGTTGTAGCTCTTGGTAAAAGGAGACGGTGAAGCCAGCACCACATCCAGGTGGATTTCAAAGAGCTTTAGCAAAGCTCTGCTTTAGGCAGATGGAGTTGAAGCAGCTCCGTGTCAGGGTTTTTAAGACTACAGAACTATTTGTGAAAAGTCATAGATAAAATAAAATCAAAATATAAAGAGAAAACTACTAAAAGTATTTAAGCCGTTTTTATTTCTGTCAAGTTCCGCCCAGAGAGCATCCACATCTCAAATGTCAGCTCATGTATCAACTCTATATAAAAAAAAAAAACTCTTTATGGGATGGCAACATGAGCACAGTGTGGAATCTCACATTCTGATACAGCAATGATCATAAGAATAAGATAAGAATACTTCTGACCAAATGAATTATCTTTATTTACATTTTTAACTAAACTCTTATCTGTATGGTAGTGATCAGATTCAATAGAGGAAAAAAAAAAGGCAGTCATAAGATTTAGAGGTGAAAGTATCAAAGACAAATGCTTACATTATACTCAGCAGCTTCAAGAGCTTTAACGTGTTTCTTCTTTGTGTTGCCTCTTAAGATCGAGGCGTTCGAGGTCCACACCCATTTAATTCACAGCTTAGAGTGTTGGCATCAGTTATTTTAAGCGAGCATTTCAAATACACATAGACCTAATGAGAAACACTTTCAACTGCTTTGAGCTCTTGAATGTTTAAAACAAAATTTGCCACATGTGCATTAAAAAAAAAAAAAAAATGGCTACAAGTTTTAATTCAAATGGGACAAATCATGAAACAATCCTGAGCAGGTACCCGACATCAGGTGGGGCCCACTCAAATCAGAAGAGAGCGCAGTTTAAATTGGAAATGACTGTTTGTGTGCTCTTCAAGTTATAAACAACCCGACACGGTAGCTCCTTCTGCTCAGACCTTTTCTCCACCTTTGGCACTTTAAACACCTCATAGGGAGGAATTAGGGCTTCTCTCTCCGACTCGCCGAACTTGGAGTACAAGGAGACGTCTGCTCCAAAACACGTGTAAACCTCAAAGCAGGTTTTGTCGCCATATCTGTCAGGACGAGGATACCGCCCCATGGAGCTGGAGGTGAAGGAGCCAAAGCGAATCTGCTTGTTGAGAACGTCTTGGCCGAAGTAGCCGTCGACTCTTCTGAAGCTCGTGAGACACCTTTCTGTTTGGAGTTTGAGAGCGTTCAGCTTTTTAAGGGCACTCGTGAGGAAAAAGTGCAGTGCGCGATATTTAAATGTCTTGTAACTTAATTTTTGTGATCGAACTGCAGCATTGAATTCTGGATAGATCTGTGGACTGTCGAGTGTATATACATAAACGGCCATGATTTCTTCTCTAGTCAAGGTCCTGGAGGGTTTCTTCCCGGGTTTAGGCCTCCATCTCCTGTTGTAGTATTTCTCCGCTTCAGTCCAGGCCTGTGAAAAGTTCCTGTTCTCATTTTTCTCATTGAGCAGAAACTCAGTCTTTACTTTGTTCTCCATCTTGTCCTCACAGCCTACGTACGCATCATCAACACAGTCCAGAGCCATGTCCAACGGAGCAACGATCTGCCGAAAGTTAAAACGGAATACATGAGATTGTCTTGAAGAACGTCGTTTATCATATCAAAAAGGTTTGTGGTACCTTTGAAGCATCGATGAAGCCTTCAAACGTCACAAGTAACGCTGTCCAAACTACTAGTTTTGCCATTTTCTACCTTAAACCTGCTGACGAAAACAGTCGGACCACTTTATTTTTCAAAAACATAAGGCTCGACTCCACGCATCCTGAAAATGTAACAATACCACATACTCAAGTTTGTGCAAGCAGCAAACTTAAATTCCTCAAACTTCTCATCCCCTATTTCCTCAGTCAAGTTTAACATCCAAGTTTAAAGCTAATAATTATAATTCAATGGATGTTTTATATCTTTAAAAATAAAAATGAATGCATTTCATGTACTTACTCCAGTGCAGGAAACAAGTCACTCAGCTGGTTTGTTAGCAGCTGCAGGTCATTCTAATCAGGGATCCTTGTGAACACTCCGTTGTCTCTGTTTATTGGGGTGACGAAGCAGCTCGAAGGGATTTTTGGAATATTTTAATTAAATCAGTGATTTTTTTAAATTTTATTAAGCACTGTAAGAATGTCACAAATAATGCATATTGCATTTGAATTGGAAACAAATCCACAGATTCTGCACAATTCAAGCAGACTTTAATAAGACTATTCTGTTCTTTATGATTGAAAAGAATGAAATGTCAAAAAAAAAAAAGGGGAATTAAAAAATGGTGCTCTTCTGGATAATCAAGTTAAATTTTATGTTTAGTTTAACATATCTGAGGATGTCTTTAAATCCACATCAAACTAATTCATTTAATTAAAAATTCTGAGAGCGTGTGACGATGTTAGACTCTAAGCAGTCTGTCTTCAAATAAATAACGTTATTAACTTGCTTTTTATGTATATGAGTGTTTCTATTAACTTATTTTTTTATATAATGTTTCTGTTCAGTGTCCTGAGATGACTTCTGTTGCGACTTGGCGCTATATAAATAAACTGAATTAAATCCCACTGCTCCGTTACACTCTGGACAACATGCAAGGGATTTTGAAGAACCGTATAACACCGACACGTGACGAGTCACAAACCGCACCTTCGTCTTTGTCAATTATTAATCCTTTATGCAGGAAAAAAAATAAAGTCGTAAAATTCACGTGTGCAGCTTTTAGACGGTTTAACACACACCTTCTGTTTTTCCTGAAGGCCTTTCAAAAGACCAAACAAAAGGTTATTTTCTCACTGTAAACTCCACAGAAAGTGATCATTCAAAGACCAAATACAAAACAATATGTAAATAAATAAAATTTAGCAAACAGTCAAATGATTTATTTGAGAGAATCCTTCAGATTTTGTAGTAAAATATTCACTCGTTTACATCGTAGGGGACAGCCTTGAAAGGCAGCCACCTTTTATTATCCACCTGACAAGGGTTTCTTAACTTTATATCTTACTCTTCCTTCAACTTTAATGCAGCCCGAACTGCAATGGTTACCCCCACAAATGTTATATCAAAACCACCGGCTCGGCACCGTGATGTGTGCTATTACTTATAATGGCGTTTTGAGTTACCATGGTGATGTAATTTGCAAACAAAGACACCATTTTTCTAAATCAAATCTTCTGATAAAAGTCTAAAATTTACTTCTCGATTTACTTCTTGGTCTGTTGCCTTCATATACGTGTCACTCTGTGAGTGCAGCTACAACGTGCGCTCTCATAATTACTTGTAGTAATTATATCCTCAGTGTGGACCGAACTAGGCACTTGTCTCTTACTCTGCTCATGTAACTTGGAACACCTTGCAAAAACATCTGAAGCTCTCGACCTTGACCTCTCTAAGGGGTTTTAAACAACTAGTTCATGGCAAAACCCAACGCAGACATGTTCCTGTTTTTAGTATTTTACATCGCTTTATAACGTAGCTGTTTTTGTTTCATTTTTATATCATTACTATGCTTTTTATATGATTGTCTATTGTTGTCTGTACCTCATATGTGTTCGCTAAAAACAGATCTCTCTTGTAAATGAGTCATCATAACTCAATGAGACTAACCTGTATAAATAAAGCTTGAATTGAATTGAATAAAATGGCCGCCACACAGAAATCCCCATCAATGTTTCTCCATAAACTTTCTGGTTCTGTCTGAAAAAGGCAGAAATTGGACAAAACAGCTGAATAGTAGCTAAAACTAGCAGAAAGAAGTTTGAATTACCAGAAGGAAGTGGATAGAGCATGATTTTACCGAGTTAGGTTGAAAAAAGTTGGATTGATTTAAAAAGAAAATTGGAATTAGCCGAAAAAACTGAAATTAACATAAAACAGCTAAATAGTAGCTGAAATAGTAGAAATATCTGAATCTTCCAAAAATTAGCTGAAAGGAGTATAACAAGCTGAAATTAGCAGAAATAAGTTAGAAGAAATACAAAATTGTTGAAGTAAGATGAATAAAGCTGGAAAAAAGTGCAAAACGGCTGAAAAAAAACAGCTAAAATTTGCTGAAAGTAGCTGAATTTTTTTAAATAAAATTGCAAAAGGAAGCTGAAAGAAGCTGAATTAGTTCAAAAATATCAAGGGAGTAGTAAAAGATTGTAAACGGATACAAAGATATGAAGGTTGTAGCCTTGTTCTTTGGCTCGCAAAGTCTAAAGAAAAAAAAAGACCTGTAGAGATATAGCCAATTTGGGACCAGAAAGTCGCAGGTTCAACTCCCTGCCATGCCCACATCTCGTGGTGTCCTTGAGCACGACACCTGATCCCTAATTGCTCCCTGTGTGCTTATTAAGCTCCATCTGGGCGTATCTCACATGTGATGGGTTAAATGCAGAGAACTAATTTCGTCACAATGACGGCAACGCATGACGTTTTCCTTTAAAAGTGCTTTAGATGTTGCACAATACAAAATTTAGGAAACATTTTTAAAGCCAATTTAACGTCCCTTAATACCACACCATCAGAAAACTGTATGGGTTAACCCAGTAACAGTGCAACAGTTATCACCAGCAGCAAACCCCCCAGCACAGCTGCCACATAACACTTCTGGTTACGTTTTACAAGAATAAAGGAAATGATCACCAACAGTAGCACGCATGTTGACATCACAACAACGTTGCCTCCATGCAAGGGTGTCAAACTCGGATAGAAAAACGTTTTTAGGCTTTGAAACAGTTTGCAGTTCTGGTCCGTCCTCGGTGTTTTGGTGCTGTGTAGCTTGTAGACCACGCTGCACCACGGTTCATTTGTCAGGACGTCCGTCACTTTAAAAACCTCGTAGGTAGGGATGAGCATCTGTTCCTTTCGGCTCGTGCTGGAGTAGTACGTGATGTCGGCACCAAAGCACGTGTAGATCTCAAAACAGGAGACGTCGCTGCTGAACTGTAACGACCGCTTGCTTGACACGGCCCAAGTCAGAGCTCCAAAACGTACGTATGTGTTGTTGATGTTCCGCTCAAAGCGTTCCCACGTCGTGTGGTACGTGGTTCTGCACGACGTCCGGTTGTTCAGAACTTGGATGGCGTCCGTCAAATAGAAGTAGAAATAGTGAAACCTAAACATGTCCGTGCTGTATTTGTGTTTCCCCGTTTTTAATGCTGTGTTGAAAGTTTGCCGGATGCTTCCAAAACGGGTGAACGTGTACACGGCTTTGGAATGATCGTCTGTCAGGAGCTTGTGCACGGGCTTCTTGGCAATTCTTTCAACTAAACTCCAGGCGACGCCGAATTGCTTATTGACGTGCCACTCAAACACGCCAAGCAGTTCGATCATAGGGACGCTTTCAGACCGACAGCCGTCGTACATGTCGTCAATGGACTCTGTAGCCAGACCCAGAGGCAGGACGTCCGTATCCAGGTCCTGCAGTGACAGATTGAGAAAATCAAGAACTGTAAAACCACGAACAAGCCTGTGAAAATAAGCAGATGTAAACATTTTATTCAAATGACTACATCGTTTTTCTGACCAGAGGTGGTTGTTGTTATTGGGTTTATTTGGGACATGGAACCAGATCTCACCTCTGCAGGTCTATGAAACCACCAGAGTCTCAGAAACGGGTTACTGTACAACAGGAGCGCCACCGCCACCAACAACAGAACCGCCCAGTTTCTCTGGATTCTGACAGACTGGAACCTAAGTGCCATGTCTGAATGAAGAATTATCACAGAATGAACCAGACTTTGAACGTTATCATATATTATGCACAGCTTACTCGGCTAAATAAGTGATCAGCAGTAAATCTTGAAGGAGTAACACAAGCCGTCTTCTCAGCTTTCAAACTTTTTTTTTTTTAGCAACAAAGTGAAACAAAATTTGGACTTACCTTTCTTCTGCGTGCAGCATGTTATTACCTTCAGAGAGGTGAAGAGCACAGACGGTGTTCGTTCGTTCTGCCTAACCGGAAGTACAGGTACAACTGCCCAGGTTACATTTCCTTAGATGTCTGCTCCGAGTTCTTATCTCGTGTGGTGTTTGCTCCGTTTTTCATCTTGGATGAGCAGCAGCAGAACTGGTTCACTTGAATGTGTTGCTGTTGTTTGTATGTTTGCAATTTACTGTACAGTTTTCTCCTGCTATGTGGTCACATATTCTACTTTTGAATAAAACCATTGCTTTACTTTATGTTTCACTGTTTGCACTGCCAGAGGGAGGTTCCACCTGTTGGACAACTGGATAATCCTGTTTGGTAACAAACAGTAAAAAAAACAGTTAGCTCATTCACTAACCCTGCGGGGCCAATAAAGTTCTATCTTATCTTATTCAGGCACAAGCATAGCAACAGAATATGTTTTAAACTCCCTTTAAATGAGCGCTCCAGATGTTGTAAGATATTTAAACATACATTTAAATGATACTTTACCAAAGTATTTGTTGTTTAACAAATGCAACATTCTCTCCTGCAACTGCACGTACAAAAAAAAACATGTCAAACATGTCATCTTGTCTTTTGCTGACTGAAAACAAGTTTTTGACTTGTAACTAATAATAATAAAAATAAGAAATTAAATGGATTATGATACAAAGCAGAAACCTTTAGAAGTCAAGGACTATTTCTGATGGACCAGTGAATGAAATTATTATGGGGTGCCATTTGTAAAGTTACACAGTCAAAAATTGACAGCAATATTTTGGTTTATTTAGACTTTCATTAAAACAGTTTTTTTTTTTTTCCAAAGTCATAGTTTCACCATGTTATTCATATATTTATTAAGTCATAGTTCCAAACTAAATATTTAATTTACAAGCTAAATATTTAGTTTACAAACTAAATACTTAACTTGCAAGTTAAATATTTAGTTAGCAAATTAAATATTCATTTTGGAAATTAAATTTTTAGTTTGGAAAATAAATATTTAGGTCCAAGCTCAGTATTTAGAACTTTACAAACTAAATGTTTTTGTCCAAGCTAAATGTTTAATTTACAAACTAAACATTTAAATTGAAAGTTAAATATTTAGTTAGCAAATTAAATATTCATTTTGGAAATTAAATTTTTAGTTTGGAAAATAAATATTTAGGTCCGAGCTCACAATTTAGTTAGCAAATTAAATATTTATTTTGGAAATTAAATGTTTAGCTTGAAAAATAAATATTTAAGTCATAGCTAAATATTAGTAAATTAAATATTTAGTTTAGGAATTAAATGTTTAGCTTAGAAATTAAATGTTTTGTTTTGAAAATAAATATTTAGCTTGGAAATTAAAAGTTTATTTTACACCTAAACATTTAGTTCACTAATCAAATATTTAATTTGCAAGTTAAATATTTAGTTTGCAAATTAAACATATATCTTGGACATGAAACATTTAGTTTGCAAAATAAATACTTAGTGCAGACCTAAATATTTAGCTTGCAAGTTAAGTATTTAATTTGAAAATTAATATTTAGTTTGGAACTATGACATTTATAAATGCATATATGAAAATATAACTTTGAATTAAAGAAAGCTTTTTTTTTATGAAAGGCTAAATAAACCAAAATATTGCTGTTAATTTTTGACTGTGTAACTTTACAAACGGCATCCCATAAATTAGTCAGTTATTGTGACTGGTGCAACATCTTCTACATGCCATTTTTAATTAGCTTTTCTCCTCCGTGTATTTGTAGTTTCAAAATTAAACAGGCAAAAGGTAGAGGCTGAAAATGTTCTTGCTTTTAAATTCTGGTATTACATGGAATTCAGCGCACATTCCCCTAACATGCTTAATTTTAGAATTGTATTGATTTATAGACACAGAAACCTGAATCTTCTTGAACACGCTTACCAACCTTATTGTCAGGAGTCAGGCTTCGCTCTTAAATCCAGAACAAGCACTTTTGAAACAAATTTCACACAAAAATCTAATCACTTTGATCACAGCTTTTGAGTTACATAGTTTGTACCTTTTCCAGATGGAATATGACACAACCCTGGAAGAAGTCCAGTAAATATGTTAGAAAACATGTCTCAATACATTCTTTGTTATTTTGGAGAGCATCTTCAAATGTGTAATTATTTAAAAGTCACTGAGGTGGGAGAGGCGCTTGAGAGGTATGTCTCACTTTATGTTAAACAGACTTTAATCAATATTAAACTCAAAAGAATTTAACTGTAACAAGAAAAAGTAGTTCTCAAAGCCTTTTTATATTATTTTTTATCAAAACAAAGACATGGATTGACAAAAGGAGTTTAATTATTGCTCTTTTAATATGTAGTGCCATCTGCTGGAAGCTATGTAAAAACACATCCTTTTCCTACTTTTTTCCAGAGATCTGACCTGTGACATGTTCACAGTTGCCATGTGACTGAGGAGGATGAAAGGAAAAAAATGGGATACTTGCAGGGCTAGTTTTGTTCAAGTCTGGATTGAATCAGAGCAAAACCTGACAAGACCAACACACAGTTACATGGAGAACCACCACGTGTTAGCTTTACATGTGTTGACAGATATGATGTAAATGTGTCAATCAGAACAGAGTCTGCAGAAAGAGCTTCAAAACAAAAGGACGCGTTCAAGCGTTTCTGCCTTTATTCCATGCCGAGTCAAGCTGTTCAGATTTTAAAACACATGATACGTCTGAAAAGCAATTACAGAGCAGAAACTGCTTTACAACGCAAACTCTTGCAAACAGGTTCGATTCAGCACTTTAATTTTAGGGCGTGATGAGTGGGATTTTACTGGAAATGTTCCGTGCTTTGAGATACACTCATGTTTTGAAGCTAATGTAATTCCATACTCTAATCTTTTAACAGAAAGGTCAACTGCTGATTCCTTCCTGTGATGGTTTTATTGTCACTAGAAACATGTAAAGCCCCTTTTCCATAGACAGACAGAGAGCAAAAAAGGCAGGAGAACAGGGAGAGGGAAGAGGAAGCGTGCGCCTCGCTCCAGAGCCAGTGAGAAAAAAAAAAAGTTGTTTTATACAAGTTCGTTTGGTGACGTGTCTCATCTGTGCTGCTGACTATCTCATGCTGCTGTATTCATTCATACCCATCTACTGTGCTCACCACACTCATGTTTAATATACCATATTATTTTACATTATTAGTGTTTAGCGTATATCTTAGTGTATCCAGTGATCCATATAGGCCTACTCTTTCTTTTTATACGTGATGTTTTAGCTATTTTTGGGTGTAACTGGGTCATTGAATGCACAGTTTAATTTCAGCTCATGTACCACATGCGATGCGCATGACAATAAAGACATTTGAACTTGTTTCTAAAAGTTGTATGCAATGGTCTCTGTATTATTAATAGAAATGGTGAATTTGCTGCTAAAACAAAAATAAATGTTTGGAGAGAGGCGTGCTTACCTTTGTGCTGCATCATTCCTTATCACACATTTTAGTCCAGGCATGGGCAAACCCCGGCCCGCGGGCCGTATACTGCCTGTTGGTAATTTTAATTGGCCCGCCGAAATTGTCCAAAATTTGGACAATTAAAAAATATATATATATTTTTTTATACTTTATTTTCAGGGGTGCTGAGGTAAAATTTAAGCACCCCCAAAAAAGATTTTAAAATTGCCACTGGTTCAAATTATATTTAAAAAAACTGAATTTAATAGGGGGGGAAATTGTGTTGTTTTACCTGTAGTTCCAGCATTTCCCCACTAGAGGCGCACTACAGACACTGGCGTGTATTATGGACCGGCCCTTCGCTCCAATTTTAGAACTCAATGTGGCCCGCGAGTTCAAAAGTTTGCCCACCCCTGTTTTAGTCAGGTTATGACTACAAATACTGATTATTACAAATTTGTAAAAGGAATTAGCATCCTTTTTTTTTTTTCCCCATCAACAGGGTATCTCCACTAAAACGTAAATAGTCACAGATTTTGTGTCTATGGAGCCACACTATTGTATCTTGTGCCAAATGAGGTTCTTAACTCACGTGTCTGGACACAGCTGTGGCTGAGTGGTTAGAGCAGTCGTCCTAATGGGAGAGTTGGGGGTTCGATTCCACCAGCAGTCACATGCTGAAGTGTCCCTGGGCAAGACACTGAACCTCTCATTGCCTCTGATGTGTGTCCCATCAGTGTATGAATGTGATCTGCACCGGTTATTCTTTGCATAGATACAGTAGAGTGCTGTATGAATGGATAAATGAGGGCACAGATTGTTGTGTAAAGCGCTTTGAGTATCTTGATAAGATAGAAAGGAGCTATAGAAGTACAGTCCATTTAAATCACATGGGAAAAGGCATTGCACAGATTGTAGTCTACATCTTTCCAGTATACACACCTCTGAATCATTGATATCACCCTGTACAGGATGGAAAACTGCCTCCCTTGCAAAAGAGATCACCGATCTCAGTGAACTTTGCCTGGCTAAATAAAGGTCAATCAATAAATAAAAATATGTAAGGCTCACGTATAATGACTAATGTTGCACTTTTGTACTATTAAATGTGCTGGCTTGTACTTTTTTCCAGAATGAAAACCCAGATAATTTTTTTAAATCATCTTTGGAATGAGAAACCCAGCATCCATTTTTCTACAGATTTAAATAGCAAATGGACTGCAGTGCCTTTCTATCTAATCAAGATACTCAAAGCTCTTTACACTAGAATATGTGTCATTTACCCATTCATACAGCACTCTACTAGATCTCTACAAAGCTAATTGAACAAATCATTCTAAAGAGAATAATCAGTGCTTCATCACA